AACTGGAGATTTGGAACTCTACAATCCTGAAGAATACTATGCAGCTCTAGACACGTATGTTCTACTTATTAACTCAGTCTTTGAATTGCTAGCTAATATTGATTCAATTGATAAACAGGAGGGCTCAGTTAATGACAGGGTTAGGAAAAATATAAAGCTTCCTCAAATCATTCTTCCAAAATTTAACGGTAATCAAGACTCTTGGTTAAATTTTCGAAATTTATTTACTTCTTTGGTAATTGACAATAATCAACTTTCAGATATTGAGCGATTACATTATTTACATGCAAGTTTAACCGATGAAGCTCTGATACTCTCTCAAACTGCAGTAAATACCGTTGATTTCCAACCAATTTGGGAAATTTTAAGGGATAGGTACGATAATACGATTCAATTAGTCCATTCGTTAATTTTGTCTATTATTGAATTTCCTGAAATTGTTAATGATTTTTGTAATAATTTAAAAAAGTTTCGTGATGTTATTTTGTCAGCTGTTACTGCTTTAAAAAACCTGAAAAGACCAGTTTTAACATTGGGACGATTTATTGGTCTGCTTAATCAACCTAAAACTTGATCAAATTTCTAGAGAAAAGTGGGAATTAAAGGTTAGTGAACAAAATGAGTTACCTACATATGTTGAAATAATAAAGTTTATTGATACCAGAATTCGGTGTTTGGAATTGTCTAAAAAATCAATTATAAAAACTGGTTATAAAAACACAAAACCAATCCATGTCCATCAAAATTTACAATCTTCCAAAATTATTTCAAACCAAAAGCCAACTTTCTAAAAAATCTTCATCTTGCGATTATTGTCAAGGAAATCATTTTATTTTATATTGTCAGGAGTTTAAAGCACTCTCGGTTTCTAAACGATTAACATTTATTAGTCAAAATACAATCTGTGTTTAAATTGTCTAGGTAAACATGATTTGTCTAAATGTAGATCTAAACATAATTGTTTTGTTTGTCATCAACGGCATAATTCATTGCTACATAAAGATTCTCTAGATAATCAAGTTAACACTAGTAAAATTTCAGAATTTACAGAAAATCTTAATGTACATTTATCTTCAAACAAACGAAGTTCTTCCATTGTTTTGGCTACTGCTTATGTACTGGTTCAAGCTTCGTCAGGGCGGAAAACTTTGGCCAGAGCAATTCTTGACCAATGTTCTGAATGTAGCATTATTTCAGAACATTTAAGACAAGTGTTAATGTTGTCAAAGAACCGAACTTCAGCTACAATAACTGGAGTAAATGGCACAATAACTGGAAATGTGCTGTCTTGTGTTAATTTTATGATTAATTCGGTTAATTCTAGTTCCAAACCAATTAACGTTCATGCGTATGTTCTTCCTCGTGTTACCACTTATCGACCGCCTGAGATTCTTAAGTCAGATCTTCCATCCGATTGGCAAAACCTTGAATTTGCTGACCCGCACTTTGAAAAAGAAGGAAGGATAGATTTGCTGTTAGGCGCAGATGTTTATGGGTTGTTTTTACGCGATGGTTTTTTAAGATCCAATTCTAGTGCTTTACATGCACAATTATCAATTTTTGGGTGGGTTTTAACAGGACCTTTAACTGTAAATATTTCTTCATTTAATACTATTTATGTTCATCATGCTTCAGTTGAAGAATCGTTGGACTTAACTTTAAGACAATTCTGGGAAATAGAACAAGTTCCGTCTTGTTCAAATCTTTCCAAATTTGAGCGTGAATGTGAAGAGCACTTTCAAAATACTTATATTAGACTTCCTAATGGGGCTTATCATAATCATAATCATAATCATAATCATAATCATCTTTATTCGTGTTAAGTACAAAAAGTTTACACAAGTCGAAATACAAGTTACAAAATAGATACACAAATTACATTTAAAATTTCAACATTAAAATTAATAATTTATTATAAAATGGATATACCTAGTACAAGCATAGAAAGACTAATTACTACATATTTTGACAATCACAGCTTAAAAAGTCATCTAAACTATAAAAAGAATTGTTTATTAAAAATATTTTTATTGAAGTTTCAAATTTTTTTCTTGTTAACATTCTTATTTTTAAAGGAATTTTATTATAGAAGATTGGCCCAAAATAATTTGAACCATTTCTGCTGGCGCAAATTCTCGAAAATTCAATTCTTATGTTTTCAGAGTGCCTAGTTTTATAATCGTGAATATTCTTTACCGTCTTATAGGAGTTTATGTTGTCATAAACGTGCAACAAACTAACATATACAAACATGGCAGGTAGGGTTAAAATTTTTAATTCTGAAAAGTATTTTTTTACGCATTCAGTGTATCCCGCTCCTGTCATTATTCTCAGGACCTTGCGTTGCAGACCAAACAATCGTCCACTACACGGAGCGTGTCCCCAGCATATTAACCCATATGACAGGTGCGATGCAATCAGTGAAAAGTAGGCTGTTTTTATTATATTGATAGGGACCAGATTTCGCAAGGACCTTATCACAAACATATTTTTTGATATTTTGGATGCTATATGGTCAATATGATGTCCCCAGTTTAACTTTTCATCAAGCATTAGGCCAAGAAACTTAACACTTGGGGGATTTCCAATGTTTATTGAAGTTGAGTGAGTGAAGACGATGTTTTTAGTTTTACTTTCATTTATTTTTAGGAAATTCGAGGTAAAATATTGTGTTGTATGTAGCCTACTGTCAGTTAGTTTTTTATTTAAAGTTTCTAAATTTTTACAAGGTATTACTACTGAAGTATCATCTGCAAAAAGGATAGTTTCAGAACCTTTAAGCCCACTTATATCATTTATGTAAAGCAGGAATAATGTAGGGCCGAGGACTGATCCTTGAGGGACACCTGACTGAACTACTTAGACACCTTATTTTCAAACGAGACATATTGTTTTCTGTTTAATAAATATGAACTTAAAAATCTGCAGGAGTCTTCATTAAAGTTATATTGTTTTAATTTATCTATTAAAATATCGAAATCTACACAATCAAACGCTTTATTTAAATCATAGAAAGTTACTCCTACAAATTGATTATTATTGTAGCCCATACAAATGTTGTTTATCAAATGTATTGCCGCAGAACTGGTCGATTTGTTTGCTCGAAAACCAAACTGATTTTTGTTATACAGGTTATAGGTTTCAGAGTGACTTGTGATTTGTTTTGCAATGGCGTTTTCAAAAATTTTAGAAATGATTGGGACTCATGATATAGGTCTATAATTTGTGTTTATGTCGTCGCCGCCCTTATGAATAGGCACTATTTTAGAAATTTTTAGTATTTCAGGATAGATGCCTTGATCGATACATAAATTAAACAATTTTGTTAATGGTTGAATAATAATATTTTTAATTGATTTTATTATATTTGATGACATTCCAAAGTGGTCGCAGCTATTTTTATTTTTGAGATTTTCTATGCACTCACGAACTTCGTTGTAAGAAACATTTTTAATTTTGAACTCCGGAAAATTTGATTTATTTAAATAGGATTTATAAGATATATTTATGTTTGGTAGGTTATTTTTAATTTCAATTGGAATGTTAGTAAAAAAGTTGTTTAGGTCATTGACGTCAATAATACTGTTGTTTACTTTGTTTTTAGGTTTTTCTCTGTTTTTATTTATTATATTCCAGTAGGTTTTAGGTGTGTTGTTTTGTGCAATTATGTTTGAATAGTAAGAATTTTTCGCTTTTTGAAGTTCAGTTTTGTAGTGTTTTTTGTGCAATTTTAGTTGCTGCGACAATGCATTTGATGGGGTGAGTTGATTTGCCTCGCTAAAAAATTTGACTTGTTCTCTAATATTTCTTAATTTATTATTAAACCATGGGTTTTTTATGTGTAGATTCTGTGGGTTACGTTTAATTTCAATTTCAGGAAAATATGTGTTTATATTACTATTTAGTATATTTATGAAATTGTCGAATTTTGAATTTATATCGACAAAGCCATCACTCACAAAACTCCAATCCACGTCACATAAATTTTGATAAAAGTAAAATTTGCTTGCATTGTTTACGACTCTTGTTTTAATAGTGGAAATTAAAGTTTCATTTCGTTTTATAGTGAGATGTAACACCACTGCCATGTGGTCAGACAGCCCGGGCTCGATTACCGTTGAATTAGACTGGGCCGAGGTCCTGAGAATAATGTTGTCTATACAGTTTTTTTGCCTGGTCTTTCCCTTTATAGTCACCCTAAAATCATAAGAATCAGTTAGGTCTTTAAACATTTTATATTTAATATCGGTAGAGAAAAAATGTATATTAAAGTCTCCGTTTAAGATAATGGTTTGTTTTGTATTTTTCACTAGGTTAAAAAGTTTATTTATTGTGATTAAAAAAAGATTGTAGTCTCCAGATGGTGGACGGTAACATGTTATGATGGTAAGATTTTCCACCAAGCTGTCGATTGCGCAGAGTTCACAGTGGTTTTCAATGGTAAGCTTATTTATATCTTCTCTTCGTTTACTTTTGATGGTTGGTTTTCCCATTATTAGTACGCCTCCCCTTGTGCTAGTAGTTCTGCAGTATTTTGATAAGACAACGTAATTTCCCAGTTTAAAATTTGTTATTTCATTATTTGTGAGGTGGTGTTCAGAGAAACATATTATACTATAGTTGCAGTTCGACTGGACGAAATAGGCTTCGAGTTCTAATAATTTGTTTCTTACCGATTGTATGTTTAGGTGAAAAACTTTAAAAGAATTGTGTTTTTTTATTGTATTAATTTCCTTTGGGTTTTGAGTTTTGGTAGTTTTTATTTGTGTTCCGAAATAAATATTCGGAAACTTCAATACCTGCTGGCCAAAGCTTAGCATCCAAAAGAGTGTCTTTCATTCCTCGATCAGCTGCAATTTTAAAGCTATTAAAACCCCAGTTATTTTTTAGCTGAATACATGTGAAGTTTTTTCCTTCGAATTGGGCCTTAAGCCTTTGTTCTAAGTCTTCTGCGGTAAAGGACGGTTTAAACTTAGATGCAAAGAGCCATTCTTTTTTACCAACTGCAATGTTTTCTCCACTTGTATTTGAACCTATTATTTTATTTGCCTGGTCTTGATTTGTTAATTCGTTAACTTTGGCTTTGATTTCTGCCTCCAGTATCGCATTTGATACGTCATTTTTTGTAATAACGTTTTTGTTTTCATGTTCCTTGTTTTTTGCGTTTTTACCCTTAATTTTAGTATTTTTTTCTTCCTGTACCAAAATGTTAGACTTGACAACGTTGGAACTTAAAATTGTTGTATTAATTGGGTTAGGTTTTTGGATTTTTGGATTTTGAGATTCCAGTAACGATATTATTTTTTCCAAGTCGCCAATTCTATTTTTTAGCTCAGTGTTTAATTCCTTTGCACATATTAGCTCAGTTTGTGTACATTTTAAATCGCATTTTAATTCACTGACCTTGACTTTATCTTCAATGTCATCTACTTCGATTAGGATAGATTCGATGTTTTGCACATTTTTTGGGTTTAAATCCTGAACTAATATAGCATTTTTCACAGGTTCACTTAACTTTATGTGTTCAGGTACGGTTTTAGTTAAAACCATTTGCACTAATTCAACTTTTTTCAATTTCATTAATTCTTTGATAATACTTTCGTTAACAGCCATGTTGCCGGTTTTCGATTATTATCAGTTAAAGCTTCCTTTTCTTTCTGATGCGCCAATTCTAGGTGACTCAAAAGAAGTAGCTTTTCGTACTTTCTGTTCTATAGAAAAGAAATTAAATAGAACTCCTGATTTATTTGAGCAATATTCTGCATTTATGAAAGAATATTTGTCACTTTCACATATGAGTCTTATTGGACCATTAAATTCACACTTTAAAGATCAAAACTTTCTTCCTCATCATCCAGTTATTCGTCAGGATAGTCTTACTACCAAGTTAAGAGTGGTATTTAATGGCTACGCTAAAACTTCAAATAATTGTTCAATAAATGATTGTCTTCATACTGGAGTAGCTTTGCAAAAAGATATAGTAGCTATTATAGCTCGCTGGCGACAACACCGTTGTTTCGACAAATCAGTATTGCTCCTGAAGATAGACATTTTCAATGTATTTTATGGCGTTTTTCTCAATTTGAACCTCTTCAGATCTATGAACTTAATACTATCACTTATGGTCTTCGTTCTTCTCCTTTTCAAGCTAATCGAGTTATTAAACAGCTTTGTCAAGATGAAAGAATTAGATTTCCAAATGCATCTAAATGTTTAGAAGATAACGTTTATGTTGATGACGTTTTCTTCAGAGGGGACGATATAATTGAGACTCATAAATTAAGAGATGAAGTTATTAAGCTTACTGAGTCAGCTAACCTGCCATTGAGAAAGTGGGCGTCAAATGTTCCAGAGTTGATACAAGATCTCGGTTCTGAAGAATATAAGTTAGCTATTGACATTCCATTTATTGATAGTACTACTCTTCGTGTTTTGGGAATACAGTGGAATCCCTCAAAGGATCGTTTTCAATATCATGTTAAACTTGAAGCTGATTGCACAACAAAGCGTCAATTGTTGTCTACCGTATCTAAACTATATGATCCTTTGGGATGGATTTCACCTATTACCATTAAAGCTAAAATCTTATTACAAAGTCTTTGGATTCTTAAGATTGGTTGGGATGATCCTCTTCCCCCTCATATACAAAAACAATGGCTAATTCTCCATAATAGTCTTATTTCCACATCTGAGATTACTATACCAAGATGGACATTTAATTCAAAGCAAAGCTCATGTCAACTACACGGGTTTTGCGATGCTTCAATGGCTGCCTATGGAGCAGTTGTCTATTTAAGAGTAGAACATAATTCTAAGATAATAAATTCTTTACTTATCTCAAAAACTCGAGTTGCTCCTCTTAAAACTGTTCCTCGGTTAGAGCTTTGCGCTGCAACTCTTCTTTCTGATTTACTTTGTTATATTATATCAGCTTTAAAAATATATTCTGTTCCTATATTTTGTTGGACTAATTATTATATTGTTCTGAGTTGACTACAACATCCTTCTTATACTTGGAAAGTTTTTGTTGCAAATAGAGTTTCTCAGATACAGGATTCTTTACCAAAAGCCATCTGGAAACATGTTCCTACTTCTCAAAATCCTGCAGACCTCGCTTCTCGTGGTGTTGATACACAAAAGTTAGTTACATCTCTGCTTTGGTGGAATGGTCCTAGTTGGTTGTCTAAAAAACCAGATTTATGGCCTATTCAAGAGAATATCTTTTAGAATTGCAAACGCGTTCAAAGTGGTTTAGTACTCAACCTAATTTAATGAAAGGCGATCTTGTTTTAGTAAGAAATGAACATCTGCCTCCAAATAAGTGGGAATTGGGTCGTATTATCAGTACTCATCCTGGTGCTGATGGGTTGGTTCGCGCTGTTACTATTAAAACTGCAAATTCAGAGTTTCAGCGTCCAATTGTTAAATTAGTTAAGTTACCTATTAATAATATTAAATAAAATTTTACTTGTACTGATTAATCTTATTCTAAATACTAGCCCTGTTATTGCTGAGCGTTCTTGTTTATCTTTTGTATTAATTGACTTTTCAATTGCGGGGGAGTATGTTCGAGATTGAGTTACTCAAGTAGTATATATGCTTATTAAATAAATATATGTAATCTCTATGGAACCCTGTTCCTAGGGAACCATGATTTATTATTATTATTATTATACATATAACAAACTTATACACGATTTTGGTTCTGTACCTTACGAGAAATAAAACTGTTTTTAAAAAGAACATAATACTATTTCCTAAAACTCCAAGACATTCATTTTGCTGCTCTAAAACAAGTACATTAGATGCAAAACTCCAAATTTTTAAAAATATATATTTTATCCTATTTATGTACATTAGTATTTGTAGAATAAAATACATCTAAAAACTTAACGCAGATGCAAAACTGGGTATTTGTTTCTTCCTGTCGGATGCAAAACTCGGTATTTGCTGTTGACAAATCACGTCGCTAGTATACGCATTAAGTGACGACATAACAATCACCTGATTAATTGTTATAACAATCACCTGATTAATTGTTATTTTTTGGTATTTGTACTTTTCACTTGCAAAATTGGTCTTTTAACGAGGAAGATGCAAAACTATGTTTTTAAATCTTTTGATTATAATTATTTACTAAAATACCTAATTTTAAAGGATTTACTTTTTTGAATAAAAATGATGCAAAAGCACATCTATACAATTTTTGCATTTTTGTTTCAAAAATGATGTTATGAGCGGTTTTTCATGTTTTTCTTAAAATTACTTATCCTGCAAATACAGAGTTGTGCATCTAATGTACTCATTTATAAACTTACCGCAGATGCAAAACTGGGTATTTGTTTCTTCCTTTCGGATGCAAAACTCGGTATTTGCTGTAGACCAATCACGTCGCTAGTATACGCATTAAGTAACGACATAACAATCACCTGATTAATTGTTATTTTTTTGGTATTTGCACTTTTCACTTGCAAAACTTGGTATTTGAACAAGGAAGATTCAAAACTATGTTTTTAAATCTTTTGATTTCATTTATTTACTAAACTACTTAATTTTAAAGGATTTTTTTTTAATAAGAAATTATGCAAAAGCACGTCTATACAACTTTTGAATTTTTTTTTCAAAAATGACCTTTTGAGCGGTTTTTAGTGTTTTCCTTAAAATCACTTATCCTGCAAATACAGAGTTGTGCATCTAATGTACTCATATTTAATTTGGTCGAATTTTACTTTAGATAGTTGGTATTACAGTCATTGGTTTGACAGTTAATGTCAAAACCTATTCGCCATGGTGTCTTTAATTTACTTATTTACAATAAGCGGCTGTTAATGTTAAAGAAGAAAAATGTGATTTTCTTTGGTGTTAAACAAAATTTATTGCCAGAAAAGTCTCTTAAGTAGGGACTGGAAAAATCATAAAAATATTATAACCAATATGCAAAATATTATTTTACTAGTATGCTGTATAGTCAACCTGTAAAATCAAAATTTTGGGTGGGATAAAGTATTTCATTACAGCACCGAAAGCGGTGTTACAATGAAGTCACTGTTTGCCGATAATCTAAAAGTGTTAACTCAATTCAGGATTGTGTACGTTTGCAAGAAACTTTAAATCATATTGAACTTAATCTTAACATCGCAAAATGTAAAATTTGTACATACACTCTAAAATTTAGTCCCATTGAGTTCAACAACAATAGTCTATCGCGTTGCACAAATGTAAAAGATTTGGGCATCACATTTGATAATAAATTTACATTTTCTGACCATATTTTAAACATAAATAATTCGTCTTTAAAAATTTTGGGTTTTTTAATCAGAAATTGTAAATCATTTAAAAATATGGATTGTCTTAAAACATTATATTTTACTTTGCTTCGATCCAAACTGGATTATGGAGCACTTATATGGAATCCAAACTATAACATACATATAAATCTGATTGAAAGGACCCAACGAAGATTTTTAAAGTTTGTATGTAATAATGTAAATGGAGTTTATCCAGAAAGGGGTTTTGACAATAGAACATTATTTCTAATGTTTAATGTACCTTCGTTAAAGCAACGCCGAGATATTTTATCTTTTAAGTTTTTGTTCAACTTATTTCACAATAAGATTGATTGCCCTGACTTGCTGTCACAATTTAATCTTCTAGTTCCAAGAGCTAGTGTTAGAAGTAGTTTGTATTTTTATTCATTTGCAAGAACTAATGTTGGTGTATCATCGCCTATTTCAGCTAGGTATGTGTTATATTTTTAATAAAATCTCAAATTATTGTGATCTGAATAATGATTCTTTAAAATTTATAACTAATGTTTATATTGAGCATAGTATTGAGTAAAGCTGTAATTTTTCATCTAATGGTCATACTTGAGTAGTTCTGTATATGTTAGGTTTTCATGACTTTGTTTTTATTATTATTTTTAGTTTATGTATAATTATAATTATAGGTAATTATGTATTTCATATTTGTCCTGTAATTGGAGTTTCTCTGTTGGGCAATAAACATTATTATTGTTATTATTATTATTATTATTATTATTACCTATTATTATGAAAGCAAAATAGATAAAGTAAATTAAAGTCTTGGACAGAATTGATTCTCCTTTTTCTTCGTACATTTGCTTTAACTTGTAAATATTATGCACTTGTTAAACAGTCAAGCGTAAACAAGCACATTTCCACTCTTTCGATCTATATCTCACTTTCCCATGAGATCGTGGCTACGTTTGGTGATCGTTAGTCATCACCTTCACTAATGCATCCTTTTCGGACTGCAGACATAATAACTGTTTCCCTAAAATCTATTTCTTAAGTCTAATTTATGATAAACAACATGAGAACCCATTCCTAATTTTACCAAATTGTTATTTTACTAAACACGCTAATTAAATTATTGTCTATTCTCCGACATCTAAAATATTTTTTAATTAAAACCTACGTCATTTTGATTTAAAAAAACTATTAAATTATTTATTTAAATTAAATAATATTAAAATTAAAATATAATTAAAATTTTACCATCTCAATGGGTCATAAAATCTTTGTTAC